GAGAGAGAGAGAGAGAAAGAGAAAAAGAGAGAGAGGATGGAGAAATCCAGCACATCGAGAGCCGCGTTGCACGTGCGCCGTGCACCGGTTATGTCGACAGTGGCTCGCAGGGCAAAGTGCATTGTGCGACTGCCGGCGGGTGCAGCGCCGATGTCCTGGCTTTCCTATGCAACGCACTGCACCCTGCCTCCCACCCTCCTGCCGTTGCCGTTCTTTCGTCCCCTCCCGCCCTGCTTCATTCCATTTCGCGATGGTGCGCATATCGCCGACGCACCGACCATGTGACCGTCCTCTTTAGCTGAGCCGATTGCACCGCCGACGATATCCTCTTGTCTCTTCTTTCCTCTATCCTCATTTTGTCTTCCTTTGCTCACTGTTCCTTTATTTCCATCCTTCGCACCTCCGGTGTCTCATCCCGGTCATTATTTTTTATTCTCGTCCTTTCAACCCTTTACCCACATCATGGAATTTACAGCACATGAACGAAAAGTTTATATAGCACCTGTTATAAGTTAATTTTCTCTATCTGACGCAGTTAATTAACTTCTGCTTCTTTACCGTATCGCGCTCGCGGAAATCTACAATTTCCGCGCATCTTCGGCTAATCGCATCTTAAATCGTCGCATCATGTATCGTTATCCGCTCAGAATTCTAATTTCCCTAAACAGGATAAATTCTCTTTCCTTTCGCACCTTGCATTTCACACTCGCGTTCGCTGCGCGCGCGCGCGCACACACACACATCTGCATCTCTAATCGTGCCTCGCTTCCCGGGATTTTTCGTCCCTTTACCCCGCCACATGGTGGAGAAACGCGGTCCGCGTTTCTCTAACGATGACCGGCCGCTTCCGTCTTTGTTCGTTTCCTCCGCGAGTGAGCGAGCGAGCGAGCAGCGGCGGCGGCAGATGCGCGCGGACGTGTACCTCTTTCTATATCCTTCTCGCTACGTGGAAACGGACGTGTACCGTCGCCGTTCCACCGGAATGCCTCCTCCTCGTCTGTCTCTCTCTCGCTCTCATCACATCGCCGGACTCCGCCGGCCACTGCGTCATTTCTGTTCGCCACGTCTCTCTCGTTCTCGGTCTCTCCCACCAAACAGTGGCGGATTCACACGTCAAACGGCTCTAGGTACATTAACCTCAAGCCACCCCTCGTAAAGATCTTCTATCCCTTTTTAGATCTTCTTTTTAGCTGCCCTTTCTTATGCCTTATACTTGATGAGAAGAAGAAAGTCGACAATAGATCGCGGAAAAAAGGATAGTAGCTAAAAAGAATGTCCGACAATTTTTACTCAATATATCCCTTATATAGTAAGCTAAAGTAGTCTTATTTAAATTATTCATGTTTCACATTATCTGATATTTCATGCGATTATCTGATCTCAGATTTAGTCTGGCAAACATTATTACGTTATATTCAAATTAAAGAAAAATTAAAGAGTTAAATATATACCGACGTAAACTGTTCTTTTAAAAAGTATAATAAAAATAATAATCCACGCGAATATTTCTACTCAACAATAGCCCTTTGCTTTTAATCCTTCATAGTGAGGGTCGATTTCGAAATATACTTCAAACAAACTGACTTGCAGTAAGCTTAAGAATACTTGCTAACATAAGTTGAACCTTTCGTTTCAACTTTCGCACGACTCTATTACTGAATTTTCCATCTATTTGGGGAAGTGGTTTCCGCACGCGATACGCGATCGATTGTGCAAGCCGCCGCCCCGCTCCTTGCAATATTAAGCGCCCCCCAAAAACAGATGCTCTCTCGCATCTCTCGGCGCGCTCCGCGGGGAGAGCGCCCACGAGTCTATTCCTAAATCCGCCACTGCAATCCAAACTGGCATCCTCCTCGGTCAGTGCGCCCTGCCATCGCCTAACACACGAACGCGCGTTCGCACTCGTCGCACCGAGCGGGAAACCGAGCCGGTGATGCAGCCGTCCTTGTCGCACGCCGCTCGGCTCCATTCATGTCTCGGTTCTCCTCGGGTTATGCAACTTGCTCGGGGAAGGAGA